TGTGTGTGTGTGTGTGTGTGTGTGTGTGTGTGTGATCTGTCTGTCTGTCTCTCTTGCTATGTTCTGTTCTCCATCTCTTGCCATCTCACTTTCTCCACTATTCTCTCCTGCTTCCCTAGCCCTGCCCATGTTCAATATGCTGACTCTGTTTAGTCTACTTTCTGTCTCTGCTCTGGAGTCTTCTAGATGTCTCTGACAATTCTCTCATATCTACAATAAAACCATTAACCATACCATGGAGCAGTTTCTTTAGTGTGCCCCCTTGCATACAATGCCCAGAGGTCATGGTGCTGAGAAATAGCAGACCAGTTTTCAAGCCTGAATTGTGGTCTTTGGGATCACATACCTCTTCTGTCCCACTCTCCTTCAGCATCTGTCCTCTGGTCCACTCAACAGAGAACTGGACAGAGGTAGCCATGTTTTGATCTTTTTGCACTTGAAACAACTCGTATGTACAAATGCCTAGAGTTCTTAAAAGTCCCTCCTTAGAATGGCTGGAAGTGTAGGTCAATGGTAGAAAAACATGTTTAGCATGCTGTTGGCCTGGATTCAATTAATTAATAGCTTAATAACAGCCTTGAGACTTCCAGTAGGAAACTCAGCAAGGGAAAGAACATGAGCCCAGGGTCAACAGGAAGGGAGAAGGGAAAAAAGCAAGGGGGACTATGCATGTATCGGCTGCAAATGAGACCAGCACAGAACCAAGTTCCTAGACCATCACGACACAGCCTGAGAATCCTGTAATTTAGACCCACAACATAAAACAGCCATGCTGCTGGTTCCTCAGAGTATTCTTAGGTTATTGGACCACTTCCAATATATAAATTAGAATATTTTAAATGATTAGATTTTGACGTCTGAAAACTGTGACATTATTCTTTGGTTTTGCTTTGAGATTGTATCTTATGTAGTCCAGGGTAGTCTTGAATCCTGATGCTCCCACTTCACCTCCTATAAGCAAGAGATACTACAACTAACTGGTACTATTTTTAAACTAACATTCAAAAACAGCAACAATGACAGTATCAACCTCTACCATTTGACAGAGATTTGGTCACCAAATGAATCATAGGTCTCCAAATCCTGTGCTGCCATTTAAGGACTATTTTGGGTTCCTACGTTCAGTTTCCTACCTGAGTCTCAACAATAGAATGAAGGATCCCTACATGTTCCCTACTTTCAAATATAAGGAAAGAGAAACTGGAAAATTTGCCAAAACACAGCCTGCACTGTAATTATCCATCATCAGGGGAGAAAAGCTGAACTAGTCCAGGCCTGAAACAACATGTATACATAGGTTTGAATGCTTCATTCAAGGAAAGCTGTTCATTTGGGAGTGAGGAGAAGTGTATGCATAAATATTTTTTGAGGTTGTTCCCAGAAGTCTTTTCAGTATTTTGGTCATACTGTATATGGAGTAATTTCTTTCAGAGAGCTTATGTGGAGAATCAGAGAACCTTGCACTATGCCCCAGGAGCACTCTTGCATGAACCCTGTATGGACTTCCTCCTTTATTAGTTTTGCCCATTTCTCAGAGCAGCTGCAAAGGAATAAAACAAGCAAAAGCTCTTGACTAGCAAGCCCCAGAGCTGTACTGGCCTTCATTTGTCCGCCTGCCTAACTGTCGGGAGGAGGGAGCCTCAGCTTCAGAGGAGGGAAGTTACATAACTTCTGGAGTTGAGACATTTGAGGTTTTATTGCTAAAGTGGGGCTGATACCCTGCTCCAGTTAATCATAAGGCTAAGGGTTGTTCACAGGGCATGTGTACTCAGCACGAGAGCCGGAGAAACAAAAGCAAACAGCCTACTCCTCTCCCTCCCTGGAGCACCTTCTAGAGAAGGGCTTTGGCCTCTCTCTGAGTTCCACTGTTGCCTCATCTACGAAGTAGGTTTGCTGGAACTTACCACCCTCTTATGTAAAGGGGAAATCCTCCCACTAGAACTACCTCTGGGCCTCCTTAGTGCTTGCATCATGATGCCTCAATAGGTAACCCTGTCTCTGTACAGTGAGTTAATGATTAGCCAGGGCTGACCTTCCCAAGCAGCCCTGTATTCAGCTATAGTGATGTACTGTCCTTAGATCAGAGCACATGTTTCAAGTTGTTTGTCCAGCTTTGGGGGTAGATGTATGTGATTAGTGCCCAGTTACACAGCTGAACCCCCTTCTGTGTCAGAGTTATTACCAAGAAACAGGAAGCAGCAAATTCAAAGGAGATTTGAATCTATATCATTTTCATTACCCCAGTGAGCTCTGAGCTACTCAAAAAGATGGTACTTGTTGCAGATCTCTTCATTTTCAAGACTTGACAGTTTACAAAAGGGCTTGTTTCCAAGGAATTTGAATTCCAGTGTAGTGTGTGTTGCACAAGCCAGCTGTGATCATTCATTGAACTGAGAGATCACCTAAGTGATTGCCCGATAGGGATAATGGGCTAATAGGATAGTCTCATGGACTCAGAATAAGCAACATCTTGCTTCCTAATTCTGAAAAGCAATCATTCAAGAGAAGAGAGCCAACATCCACTGAACACTGGCTGTGTATCAAGTGCCAGGCTAATAGCATAGTCATGTCATTTTCCTCAGTCTCTAGCAACTGGAAACAGTTATTCCCATATTACTGATAAATTCAGGTTTAAAGAGATTAAATAATGAGCCCCAAATCACACAGCTGTTTGGCGCAGAGCTAGGATAGAAATCAAAGCCTTCCTGGCTGTAAACCATGTACACTCTGATGCAGCTTACCTCTTCCATAGGACTGTCCATAACCTCCTGCTGAAAGCGCATCTGTACCCCAACCATGAAAGGAGTGGGGCAGCAGACAGTGGCCAGAAGGCTCTCGGGGACCACAGGGATGTACGTGTGTGCCCAACTAAAGGGGTAGAGCAGAGCAGCTGCAGCGTGAATACACTGAGACAGGGTACTGGAACACAGAACAGAGAATGCATCAGCCTGGCTTCTCTTCCTATACACTGGCTCAGAGCCCCACACTTCCAGAAGCTCCTGGCAATGTTCCTATGCTAGGTAAAAAAAAAAAAAAAAATCAAGTCTAGAAGCCATGCTGATCATAGAGCTTGTAGCTACTTGTTGCTAAGAGAAGAAGGGTAGAAATCAGGAAAGGCGAGGCCCTACTAACCAGGGTGGGGCCCCCTTTAATCTCTATTCCCAGCTAGTTCTTCCAAGTCATTACTGGCTAAAAATAAGAGTGGCTCAGAAGACATGTCTTCATGTAAGCAGGATATGAGTGAGCCTCTACTCTGCAACGGACAGGGATAACTAGAAGAATAGCACTGGCCCTTCTTTGAAGAACTCGCAGCATAGTGAAGAACAAGCCAGCTAACACCAGGCTTTGGTGAAGAGGCAGAACCATCATCCACAGCCATGTCCCCTTATGGCTTCCTATAGCCATCTGAGGTTACTAAAAGCTACCAGGTTGGTGCCTGAGTTAGTTTGGGAAATTCCTGGGTTCCAGGAACCACTACTCAAACATTCCGGAAAGTCCCACCGAGGTGACGCCTCAAGACTTTGCTACAAGGATTCCCCATGTCATTATTATCCAAGTCACAACTCAGCCTCCTTCCTTACCCCCATCATACACAGCCCCACGCTGGTTTCCCTCTTCTCTGCTAGCTCTCACGGCTTTTCACTTCTCCAGCCAAATTGCACCACATCTAAGGCCAATAAAAACACAGATGCGGAAACCTTGGTATCAAGCTAGCACTTCCTGAGTTAGAAAGACCAAGTCTCTGAGTGCCTCGCGACAAAATGAGGCTGTCTGGAAGTCCCCTCCTTGCACCAGCCTCTATTTTCTGAAAATTCCACGTGGGAAGGAAGTAGGAAGTGTTGATATTTCCTGGAGAAAGTTCATTCTTGATAGGTGAATGTGCAGCATTCACACCCCAAAGACTGATCAGAAGAGAAAGAACCTAGTTGGAGCCTGAGCCTCAGCTGCCACAGAAATTTCTTCCACATAGGCCTGGAGTAGAAGAGCCTCCTCTGAAACAAAAATGATGCCCCCTTCCACAAGAATTAGCCTATGATATTTTCCTTTGGGGTTATTGCTGACATTACTGTTTTTAAACACACAGACCCCTGATCCCTGCCGAGCTTGCTTTCTTCTGAAACTCATGACACTCCTTTGATCCTCTGTAGTTTCCTCAGCTTCCTTTCCTTCTTCCCCAAAGGACAGTACCAGGGTTCAGCTCAAAATTATTACTTCTTGCTGTGGTGACCTTTCATCCCAGCACTCAGTCGGTAGAGGCAGGCAGATCTCTATGAGTTCCAAGTCATCCAGGGCTACATAGTCAATCCCCTACTCTTTTTATCATTTTTTTCCTCTCTGCCTGTCACATGTGTCCCCACATCCATTCCAGACCTGAATTCTCTCAAAGGTAGCCGTCAACACATGACAGCTTCCTGCTTCTACACACAGATATAATAAACTCCACTGGGAACTGACAAGAAAGTAACAGATAGTCCTCACCAGTCTGCACCTGGTGGTGTCCTGGGTGTCCACCACTCTGCATCATCACCTTTAATCCTCATCACAACCATATAAAACAAATCCAATCATTTTCATCCTACAGATAAGGAGATCTTGACTTGAAGAAGCTAAGAAGCTGACCTAAGCGGAACTGTAGCTAAAGGTGGAAAAATAAGATTTGAAAGTCAGTCTGCTGGTTTCAATACCTATGCTTAAAACCAAAACATAACCCTTCATCTCCTTCAGGGCAAACAGTCTTCTTGCTATCTCCTCAATGCTTGGCATCTGGCAAGCAGCTGACATGCAATAAATATTTGTTGAATGAGTTCATAAATGTGTAGATGAGCTTGTCCTCCAATCTATTACACAGCTTCCTGTCCTCTCCTCCACCCTCCTCCCTCCCTCAGCCTGGCCGTGCAAGGGCAGATTCATGTCTGCATTCACCCTAGCTGGCCCCACCTGTATTATACCAGATACACTCCATGTCCTTCTTAGATTATAGTCAGGCAGCAATCAAGTTTGGGGATGGCCAGACAAGTTGCATTACTTGTTTCTTTAGGCCTAAAATGCAGATCCAGGAACTCGAAGCTGGAAGGTGCACACACAGACCCAACAATCAGACTGCCTTTAAGAAGCCCCAATATTGTCCCTTGAATCTGGGGGCGCAGCTTAGTGTGGCTAGCCAGTGGCTGAGCTTACCTGAGACCTTCTGCCAGGAAGATGATTTTTCTTTCCAGTACTGCAGAGGCAAAGATCTGAATAATCTGCTCAAAATGGAGACAGTGCAACAGAGCACTAAAGTCCACATGTTCTAGGTGGGAGTCCAGGGGCCGTGTCAGTGAGATGAACTGTGGGGCAACCAGAAAGGAAGGTTTCAGCAATACGAAGTCACAGACCCACTCCAGGCCTATCCCATTCTTCACATAGGACAGATCTGATCCTGGCCCACGCACCAGTGGCTTCCTTCTGCTCTGAGGACAGCTGGGTGGAATCTTCAGTATGGCCCATGAGGTCCAGCCTGGGACTCATGCCCGTCTCCACAAGCTTTACCATGTACATGTCCTGGAGCAGAGCTCTTCTCTTGCCTAAAGCCTGGCATGGGCCAGGCCTCCCATACATTGTTCTTCTCAATTCATTCTTATCCCTTAGCCCCAAATGCCCACTGTGGTCATCTTAAGACTTCCTCATCTTTTTCTCATGCTACACACTGCTTTTTCTTTCAGTGTGATTGCCTAATCTTTAACTGTATGTTCTCTGGTGTGTTTACTAATGTACACATTTACTGATGTGTCTTCTCCATGAAACGTTTAGCTCCCCAAGGTTAGGAGCCAGATTCATTTTATTTACCACTCTACTCAGAAAATGCATATCTTGACAGACACAGAGTATTTCAGTACTTGTTTTTTTCTTCAATACTTATTTTTCCAGTAACTGAAAATTCCTAGTGACTCCGTGATTCTTCTGAGGGAATGACCAGGTTCAGAGGTGCACATGGAATTTCCAAAGATCTTGGCTGGAATTCTACTTGCTGCCTTTAGTTCTTTAGTGACTTGGAGCAATAGTACCTCATGAGATGGGTGGGGACTTATGGGTGGGGATGAATGATAAGAAGTAAAACAGATGGAGACTGTATGGTAGAGATACAGGACACACAGAGAATAGGGGGAAGGTGTAAGAGCAACTGGGAGTTTGGACACTAGGGACAAACTAAGCACCATACGTGATCACAGACAAAATTCAGTAGACTGAACAGTAGGTAGGTACTGGGGAACATCAGCTTAGAAGGTGCAGCATAATTTGGGTGACTTTCTAGCTCTATCGATAATTCTAATGCTAGGCTCAGCTTCCCTATACATTAACCTGATGAATGAAAGAAGAGCATTGAGAGGTCCCACAGAAGCCCACTCTCTCCAGACAGGGAGAAAGTCACACACTTGTTAACCCACCTCCGTGCCTGAGTCAGGGATGAAGCTCTTAAGGGTGACAGTCTTTCCAGGTGCAGGGAAGGCTGCCTCTCGGAGACCTTGCATGAATGGGTAGATGACAGCCATGGAGATCTGATGTCTCTTCTCTACTTCATCTAGTATCTACAGGGGAAGGACCACAGGAAACAAGGCTTAGAGGGGTTCTACTGAACATCCCAAGGCTCTCACCAACTGGCTTCCATCTCGTGGACAAAACCTGCTTTCCAAGATTTCTTTTGATTGTCTCTTACATTTCTTCCTTCTCCTAACACTGACATAAAACTATGAAGCCTAACAAGTCATCTTCCATGTTAGTACTGGCTGGAGTAGGAGCCTAGACACCTAACCTTCTGGGTATTACTGTCCCACTTCCTCTAGACCGTCACCAGGGTGAGGCTGCTACCAGCCTTCACTGTGATTCATGGAAGTAAGATCCACCCAAGCAGAAGCCCATGGAGTTCCTCTCCTACATCCAGAGTCCTTCAGGCCACCAAGACAGGCCATGTCCAGATTAGGGACTCTGCCTTGGTCCTATTCCTAACAACACAAGTCCTCAATTTCTCTTCTAGCCTCATCAAAGTCAGGGTAAATCTCAGGATCTTCACTGTGTATTTGCCTTTAGACTTGTGTGGTACTCTCCTTTTTTTTTATGAAGAATTTTCTCATGTTATGCTTCATCTGCGCCTCTTACCAACCAGGAAGATAGAAAGAATGGACAATAGTTCTCTCTGCAGGGGAAACAGCCTTCTAGATTTCCTTTAAATAGGTTTGAGCCCAGATCCTTCCTGTCTCAGGTTTACCCAATATCCTTGATGCTGGCTGGGCTATCAGGAAAGCATTCTACCAAGGGCTCAAGTTGCAAGGCAAGCAGCCAGGCAGAGCCAGAAAGCTGAACAGGCCTGCCTAACAGGCTCCAAAGAATCTTGTCCTAACCCTACCTTGGAGAACAAGCCGAAGCAGCCGATGCAGCTGATGATGCAGTATACCTTGGGAAGGCGAGGGCCAGGACCGGCAGGCTAGGGAGGGACAAGAGTTTCCTTCAGGTCTGCAGCTTCCACAAGGGTTTCCCCCACATGAGACTGATGGGGCAAAAGGTAGAGTGCTGTGGATGGGGAGTCAACGGCTGGATGGACAAAGGCCTGTCCAGAGGTTCTTTTCATGCAACAGGCAGAAGAAGGGTCAAAATAGTCACCAAAGTCAAAAGATGATGATTACTATTTACAACAGCCACATTATGCAACCAACCTAAGTGTCTGTCAGCAAATGAAAAGATAATCTGTCATATAAATACAAAGTGGAGTATTATTCAGCTAATAAGAAAAATGACATTATGACATTTTGAGGAAAATGGATGTAGCTGGCAAGTATTATCTAAAGCAAAAGAAACCACCCACAGATTGACAAACATGTGTTTTCTATTAAATATGCAAGATTTGGATTTTAGAAAAATAAGACATAAATAAAAGACATGAGTGGCTAAAGATATGTCTCAGTGGCTAAGAGCACACAGTGCTCTTCCAGAAGATCTAAACTCAATGCCTGGCACTGACAATGGATGGCTCACAGCCACCTTTTACTCCAGCCTAGGGAATATCCCTTCTTCTGGCCTCATAAGACACCCATACACATTTGCACATATCCCACACACAGACACATGCATATGCACATATCCCACACAGACACACATATGCACATATCACACATATAATTATAAATAAAGTCTTTAAAAAAGAGAGACAGGGGGGAGGGCTAAAGAGATGGGTTAAGAGCATTTGCTGTTCTTGCAGAAGACCTAGATTTGGTTCCCAGCTACATGGTAGCTCACAACCATTTGTAACTTCCAGAGGACTTAGCTCCCTCTTCTGTCCTCCATGGGCAGCAGGCATGCACACAGTGCACTTACATGCATGCAGTCAAACACTCATACACATAAGTAAAAATAAAGAAAAAAACCATGAAATTAGAAAGGTGACTATTTGGGAGGAGGAAGGGAACTGGAGTGATGGGAATAGTAAATACATATAACTCAAGTACATGGATTACACATAAGAAGACACCATCATCTCTATTCTTTTATACAATGGGTATATGCTAATAAGAGAAGAGAAGGAAGAAAAGGAGGAAGAAGGTGTGAGTGGCAGCCTTTGGGGACCAGAAACCCAAAGGTAAACACTAATGACTCATGACCAACATGAGTTGAAGGTCAGTGAGAACAAAAACTAGTGTGTCTTAGCCACGAGGAAATGTCTAGAGAGGAAAGCATTGGAAAGGTATCTGGAGAATCCTTGTCCCAAAAGCCAAGAATTAAACCTTGTTCAAATCTCAGAATGTCTGGGAGGCTCCAGGGAACAAGGCACGCAGGTCTGGGTAGAGAAGACTACAAGAAGCTTCAGTTGGAGCCT